TGTTTCAGGTGAATTGTTGCATTGTCATATACAAAAATGTACTTATTATGAGAATAGTGTTCCGTCAAGATATGGATAGCCTTTTCAAACTATTTCAGGATGTGCTCACACATGAAGTAGCCCTCACAATTGACACCAGCTTAAAAGAGAACTTGAGTGGTCTCCTTGCCATTGAGAGAAGTCAGCCGGCCATAGTTAGCTGAAACAAAGTCAGCTATCATCAAGGATATCCCTTTGCCCCTTTTATATGAAGTAGGTATTGCATTTTTGTGGTACTGTGCTGACTGACAGTGGTCATGTGCATAAAATGTAGATTCATCATGAAGGTATATATATATATATGACAACTGTGCAGTACACATGTGGAGGATGTTCTAGCCATGTTTTTTGGACCACTGACATAGATGTTCCTTAAGTGCCTTCATAGCAGGAAGGAAGATCTCTTGCTGGTATTTGATAACATCCTTTTGCCTGGGTGATTTGCTTTTCAATGAGTCCTGGATTATCTAATTTGACTATGATTTGACTGAGATATTGAGATATAGTAACAACACTTTCATGACACATTACACCTCGAGGGATCAAAATGGAAAAAAAACCATGCCATTCCCTAATTTGCCTTGAAAAGATAAAAGACAAGCAACTTCTAAATTATGAAATATGTGTGACAGCAGTAGGGTTTAAAAAATTGAGCAGTCCAAGTGACTGGTTATAGGAGCCTGCATACAAGGTTGCTTCATTTCCTCAAATCCAGGGGTAAATTCTGAGAGAAAAAAAACAATGGAGATTGTGGGGCTTGAACCCACGACCTCATGCAATCACCAAGGCTAGAAGCCAGTGCAAAGCAGGCGCGCTACCACTGTGCCAAATCCCCATTAACAAGAATCACTCAAACGAAATGATGACGACCTACTGTGAAAGCAACTAGAATAAAAAGTAATTATGGTCAAGACTACAAATAGCTGCCCAGAATTTAACATCTTGTGTGTCTTGCATCGCCTCTTGTATATTGTATATATGTTGAGATAAAGACTCAACTACTCAGAGTCAAACCCACAACCTCTACCAATGCCACAGCCAAAGTGCACATTATTAATTTTTCCTTTTTTTTGTATCCAAACTTTCTGGTACAAGCCACCCGAAAATGTACTATACAGGACCAATGCAGCCACCACTGCATTAATATTTTTAGGTAGATTACCATATTCAGAAAACCTCTGTTTGTTACTGTAAACTGAGGTTCATCTCTTTAACCATTTTACATATATCTACATACTGACTTGCTTATAGCACTTTACTTAATGCCTATAATATATACTGAACTGCTAGAGAATTAGGTGTCAATACCAATCTTTCTTTTTTTAGAGCCTGCAGCTTGACAATGGTACATGAACAACATAGCAATGGGTAAATTACAGTAGCAGGTGAATAATAGGTGGAAATGACAGTGGCAGTGGTTGAACAAGGACATTGAGAAAACAAGGATTTTGGGTAAACAGCAGTGAGGTGATGTACGACATCTGGTGTCCAGCCCATGCTGGTGTAGGACAACAAGCCTGCAGCATGCACTACCAAGGAGCAATGAAAGGTAGAGAGAGGGTAGCAAGGTAATAGGGGGGTAGTCACATCACTTTATGCATTTTGTATGCCATAACTGTCAGCCTGAGCAGATTCAGTCAGAGTTGGGAGGTCAGGGCATCAGGTAGTTGGCACCAAGATGTACATACTTATTGTTGGTGTTGGTGAGGGCCCATTGATCCTCAACTAGCAGCAAGAGCAGCAGAAGACAGGGCTAACAGCATGATGGCTAGGTGATGAGTATAGTGAGGTTAAGGCACTGATGTCATTTGTATGGATGAACTGCTTCAGGAAAACCACCTGTCATTTGGGCCACATTATACACTTCTAGAAATTTACAAGTTTGCAGGTGCCCTACCACTGTATCAAATCGCCATTTTAAGATTGTAATAAGCCTTGGATATATGGGCAAGAATATATAACATGTGGAAGCAATAAGTCATTCAAAAAGTCAAAAACTCTTAAGAACTTCTTTGCTATAATATCTTTGATGTGACTAGTGGCCTAGCTTTCATTTTACATTGCTGTCAATATTCAGGATTTTACATGCATGTCCCAGTTTTTGAGTTGGTGCAGGCAAGTGAGATTTGCCTTTTTCTGCCCAAAAGGTTTCATTGTGTTATCGTGGCGATTATCAGCTTTAACAAACATTCCCAAACATTACCATCAGGTGTCTGACAAGTTTTTCCCAAATTTGGACGTGCGCCGCCCGATTGTGGATCAGCACCGAGAATGTTCATGCCCGCCTAGCTCAATCGGATAGAGCGTCAGACTCTTATCTAGGCAGTGGTATCTGAAGGCTGCGAGTTCGACCCTCGCGGTGGGCTATATATAACATGTGCGTCAAACTATTTTGTTTGTCCGCTTTAGAGATCTGTTTGCCAAAACTTCTCATTCTCTGCATCACCCTTGATAGCTTGTCAAACAACCATTCTTACACTGGTGATGTGTATCATGACCCTGATCCTTGCCATGGGAACCAATAAGTGTCATTTGACGTTACCAAATTTGGACTGCGCCCTACAGATATAGTGTCAGTGATGCAATAGCCACCGCCCGCCTAGCTCAATCGGATAGAGCGTCAGGCGCTTACTTAGGCAGTGTCGTCAGAAGGCTGCGCATTCCACCCTAGCGGTGGGCTATGAGGATTCATTAAAGAAGTCTTTCTGTTACCATATTTGGCCTTGCGCCGCCCAACTTGGATGCCCTTTTCTGTTTTGTAGCCCGCCTAGCTCAATCGGCCAGAGCGTCAGACTTTTACGGTGGGTATAAGCAACCAACCAGATCATCTGAAGGCTGCGAGTTCGACCCTCGCGGTGGGCTATGGAGGCAATGTGTGTTTTCCCTTTCCCAGTTTGGGCTTGCGCCGCCCGCATTCAGACGCCTCACTTCCTTTGTACCGCCCGCCTAGCTCAATCGGATAGAGCGTCAGACTCTTACAAGTGGGCAGGGCATCTGAAGGCTGCGAGTTCGACCCTCGCGGTGGGCTACCATGTGCTGCTCAGTTGAGTTGTTTTTACCGCATTTCACCACCTATGTATACCGTTAAACTTACATGGTGAGAAATTAAGATTCATCGACCACAGGTGCAAACTCACCAATAGTTGGCCGATCCCGATTACTTAGAGTTGTAACGATAAGGGCCTCCGCTTGTCGCTCAAATATGTTTCTGTATGTCCTACCCTAGCCTATGTTACAAGTCTACTATATAACTAAAACGTCAAACAGCGCTTCGGCCGTTCGATATTGTACGAAGGAGCTTGGCGTGGCAGTGTTTGTACACATACAAGTGGGGCAGACATGTGCGTCTGGAACGTGTTGGTGTCACGACAATGGGCAGAACTGATCTCCGTCAGAATCAAGGTGCTCATTGGCATTGGAGAAAGCGAATGTTTACTGCGCGTCTCCGACGATTCTGAGATAATCTCAGCGTCGGTTTTCCGACAAAGGCAATAAATATACATGACGATGACAAGCAGGTTACAGATGACCAGTGTCACAGCAGCCTACGAAATTTTACGTTGTGAGTGCCCACATGTAATAGTACACGTCATGAATGATTTCGGACGGACGTACCTTGATTCCAGACATGAGACCAATGTGCCAGCCCCAATTCACCCCATGTGTCTGCAGCCTAAAAACGAAGATGGTGTAAACGATGCCTGCCAATGAATTTACAACGCTTGAGGCGAATGCCAGAAGAATCAAACGGCGTTGGTTACGCGGTAATTTGACGCGCCACAGCATTCGAATAGGAATCATGACAAGGCAGGCATCGGCAACCACATCGGCTTCAGTTAAGGAAGAAAGAATATGAAGCTCAGTAGTAAGTGTATTTGTGGGGGTAGATACTCACCACACAAACTAACAATGCCGATGGCACCCCCGAGATAACACTGGATGTTGTCATTGTAGTGCCACTTTGTACTTCGTGTACACACAATAACCTTTTGGAGCAGTTGGCCCATACAGACCAGACCAAAGAGCGTTGCAATGCCATACATAAAGTAATACAGACGTGTTTGTGGGGGAACAAGGCGAGTTATTGACATCCCGATGCTGATACGGGCTGACCTGAAGCAAGGGATCAACGGCATAGAAATTTGCATGGAGCTTTCGCAGACCAGACGACGATGGGATACAATGTGGCGCTGAACCAGAACACCAGTATGCGCTTTGATCTTGGTATACGTAGATCTGCATTTATCTTAGAAAGGGAATATGTGAAGCAGGAATTACACGCACCGTCGACATGCATCTCGCAACCACGGTGAGATGACGTACATAAGGTCAATGAGCAGAGAAATTGCTGCCCAGAAATCATCCCACCACAATTGACGCTTCCGGCGTCTGTGGTATAAACGAAATACAGTGCAAGTTATCGCGAGGACGTGTAGTGGGGTGGTCACTCCTTCGAAGGATAATCAGCAAACTCTGAGACCAGTTTCCCTCTGGAATATGCCAACGTACCGCGCCAGGTGCTCAGAGATAAAAGCATTTCCGCGGAAGCGTATCTGTTGTGGTTGGGAGAGTGTGGGCTGGGGTTACTTACACATCTCTCCGTAGTAACTTATATATGTGCTTTAGCGAGATATTCAGTTCGCTGTGTAAAAAGAACACTTTTCTTTTTCGACGCCTATGTGACCCTGAACCGCCCTCATATAAAAATGTCGTAATCTGGGGGACGAGTTAATTGAGAGGGAGCGGGTAGTTTCTCACACCGAGCCATGTGGTGATGGGGCACCTGGCTGTAAGCACACGATTGAAATGTAAAAGCCGAATGGTTATGCCATGTCAAAGCAGGGTAGACCAACGCAAACCTCCGCATTCGAAGACCACTTACGATATGTCAGGTCCTGAGAAGCTCAGGCCAACAATGGTTTGGTCTCGGGCGAACTTTGACGGGATGATAAGATGTTTATTGCCGTTCGGCTCTTAGATTGCATATACAAAAGTACACTATGCATATAATAGGTGATGATGTCTAGGGACAATTCTGGACGCCAAATCGAAATGGGTGTCGGTTGGAAGGGAGTATATAGTAATATACGAAACAGGGCATGATAGTCAGCGCAGGATGTTATTCGCGAAGGCAAGGAGGGGTTGCTCTACGGCTTTTCCAGCGAAGTGAGATTCTTCAGAGGGAAGGACAGAATGGGATGTAGACGTTGTCGACTATATCAATCGGGTTGTTGATTGCACAAGAAGGCATGATCTGGCTTGCGCTCGAAACTAGTTTCGAGGATCAAGAGGATGGTAAGGCACCGTGGATGGTGTAGTGGAGTATGGGAGAGTAGCAGACGATAAGGCCCAAGGCTTTGGCATAAGCATTGCTGGGCAGCCAATCAGCTTCATCACATATTTCTTCTTCCAGTCCTCCCGATGTATTATATTCCACGTTTTCTTGTTGTGTATGTTCTTCGTACGTGGTAGAATCCGGGAAGGTCACAAGGGTGGAAAGAAGAGGCGTAGCGATCTCCATCGAGCGTTCCCCGCCCTCCGTAATATCTCCCGCGGCATCGTCTGGCACGGCTACATGGTCAGGCCGCTCAGCCTCGGTTCCATGATGCGCCTCGGTGTTGATGAAGGATTGGCCTCCATCTAGACCAAAAGTATCGAATGAAGCTTCCTGCTGAAAATTCTCCGGGGTAACAGTCGCTTCATCTCCCCTGTGCAGCTGCGAATCGATAACACTGGAAAGAGCAGCGCGTTCCGTACGAAACGCATCGATCTCAACGGAGAGGATGTAGATCTGTTCGCTGAGACGGCTCACGATGCCTTCGGACGCACTTGCGCACGGTCCTGGAGTTGGTAGTCGATGCCGGGATTGGGCACGAGATTGAGGTTCGGACGAGGTGGCAGGGGGGAAGGTGGCAGGGGGAGAATGTGGTGTTGCATATTTTGAACGCCCACGTGGGCGTGGGCTCCAGGACGTAGAAGGCTGGGGCTGTGGAGTGATAGTGTGGCGACGCCGCCGGGGGCTTGGTATTGGTGCTTGGTTGGATGGTATTGGATCACCGGTAAGGTCTGTGTAACTGCCCAATAGTTGTTGTGGGTTGGGCAAAGGAAGGCTAGGGCCGATGGGGGTACCATCACCGTCAGTGGCTTGTGGTGGAGGCTTGGGCGGATTCGATGGACCTGGTACATTCATGAGCTGGTTCGCCCTTTGACGCGTCTCCTCGACCTGAAGTATAGCTCAGTAGCAAGTTCATGCTTTGAGATAATGTGTATAAGACATACGTTCCTGGACAGAATTCGTATCTCCTGCTCTAGTGCCCTGTTCTTCGTACTCGTCTGTTCTAACAGAGTTGTTATTTCTGCACGGTCCAGATCACGCTGTACATCCAGTGCCGTTCCTCTCGTGGCTGACTTGCCCTTCCTGTTTCTATGAACAGATCCGACATCGGGAAAAGCTACTGGGGCACTAGCGGCGTGTTGAGACCATGCCTCCAGAGCAGCATCACGGTTTGCGACTTGAGCTGCAAGGATGTTGGCATGTGCGCGCGTCTGTTCATGTGCTTCACGTTCACGTTGTAGTTCAGACTTGAGAGAGGCGACAAGGCCGTTAAAAGTATTGTCTCCAAAGCTTCTATCTGCCAGGTCATCAACAACATGGTGTTCGAGAAAGCCTGTTCGTTTGACAACAAGAGTGGCGTCATGCCGTGAATGAGCGATTTTGGTGCAGATAACACCCACCCGCATACGTTGAGAGATGAAGTTTGCTGTGAGGGAAGTGTTTGAAATCGCCATGGTTCCGTTCTACTGGAAGAAGACTGTCAATTCTGTACTAGACTTGATTCGAACGCGACTGATCTGCACCTTTTGCAATAAGTTCCAGTACAACACCTTTGCAGTCATCTCTCTCCCTCTCCAGGTCCTTTATACGGCTCTGCAAGCTCCGCATTCTGGACTGGGCTACCTCCTTCCCAGTGCGCTCCTTCTCCAAGGCTTCATCCTGATTTTGCAACGTTTCATCTAGAGTATCAAGCACCGACAGAAGTTGCTGTTGGAGAATTGTTGTCCTAGCTTTGTACGCCTGTACTTGTAACTCTAGATATTCTATCTGTGATGTTCTGCGTCGGATGATGCCAACTTCAACTCCAAGCAGAGCCCACCTGGACATCGTGGTTCTGAATACCAGCTCTAGTTTCTGAGGTGGTGGTGACCATGTAAGTCCCGTAGGGAGATGGAGTGAGCGTCCTGGTACACGTCTAACGAACTGTCTGTGACCTGTCACTAAAACCCTTCGAGTCGTAGTAAATCGTAGATGCAAAGAAAACACCATATCTTAAGCCCGCCTAGCTCAATCGGCCAGAGCGTCAGACTTTTAGGGCGGGTCTATCCATCCGAGTCATCTGAAGGCTGCGAGTTCGACCCTCGCGGTGGGCTATTCTATTCCCCTTTACTTTGAATTTTTTCTCTACAAGGTGTGCCAAACTTGAAATCACAAATAAGTCCATTAAAGTGTATGATCTTGACAGTCTTCGTGGGCCACGAGAAGAGCACAATCTACGCTATATTGGACGCACGCCTGCAGCTATTGGTTCCTATACTAATGACAGAACTGCGGCAGTTGACCTGTGCCACTATTTTCGTTATATCCATCCGTCTACGCTGATCGGAAAGGAAGAACAACATATTCACTCCCAGTTGAAAGACTCGTCTGCAATATCATCAACATCGCCACCTACAAAGCTCAATCATCGGGACAATTCGTTCTAATACAAGCAGGCGAAACGTACCTTCACCCAACAACGCAAACTCTGTCGTATGCACACTCAACAATATTTCCTTCAACGTCATACTGCCCTCCTCCCCCTCATACCCCTCCTCTTCCCTCTCCCCATCTCCCCATCCAACAGTATCAGTATCACCGTCTACATCATCACTCCCACACCGCCCCGCCCCCAGTAACGCATCTCCTGTCACAAGCGACGGAAGCGGTACCGTTGGTTCTAGAAACACACCAGGGAACGACTGCTTTGGAGG